TCGGGTGGCGAGTCTTTACACGCTGCCTGGCTTCCTCAATGGGACTTCCACTATCGGGATTCTGTATTGGCGGATACCGGAAAAAAAGATTGGTACTCGATACCGAAAAAACGGTATTGGTGCATGCCTAATATTAAAGGAGAACTATGGGGGGAGGGGAGGGGGGGTGATTTCCACTCACCTCATAGTTCTAGCCGACCTGTGACAATGAGACTCTCACAGGCCGGCTCAGTAGATCGGGATGTAAGCGAACACACACCGGCGTTCGCTGACCTCTCGATCCTGTCACAGCTCTCTGCCGTGACAGGGGAGGGGCTGTATTCCCCCCTCCCCGCTCTGATCCTCCAGCGCTGATTGGCGAAACGGACGGGGGGAGGGGGCGGGTACAGCTGGCTCTGCCTCTAGATAGGAGGAGCAAGCTGTCACTCACGCAGCTGGGCGGATCCTGGCATAATTGTCGGGATCCGTTCCGGCTGCGGCGTCTCACTATACCGCGAGCTGTAGCTCCCTATATACTGAGCCTAGGGTGACGGGAGGACGCTAGTTTGTGTCCTCCCGTTACCCTAAGGAGAACTATGGGGAAAAGCCCTGACCCCATAGTTCTCCTTTAACCCTCTCCATTCCCCAGCCCATAAAGCACTACAGATGATGTTGCTTCTATGTGAATGAAGGGTCATCATACATGTCTGTTGTATGTCTCCTCCGTGTGTAGGGGATCCAGGTCTGGACCAACGCCAAGGAATGCTTCAGCAAGATGTGAAGGAGCCCCGGCCGTGTCTCGGACAGTCGGCTGGAACACGACGACCAATCATCACACAGGGAGGGGACTTGGTGTACACAGGTCTGGCCTTCGCCTTGAAACTTCCACCGTGCACTTCCCCTCCTCATACTGAATGTCCCCCTTGGAGGAGCCGCAGCCGCCGCAGATGAGTGACGCCATCTCTAGGATGGGACTGTTGTCTTTGTTACCATGAGCCTCCTCCATGTAGAGGGGTCTCCGCCCAGAACGTCACCACGATTGGACAAACTAGGTGGCCGCGGTATTCCCAGTGCCAATATCCGTCTCCAGCAATGATCACCGGTCCGCGGGGAAGGCGGAGCTCTCCGTCCAGCGCCTGCGGAGGTTTCTGCTCATTCGTACCCGCGACCTCCAGCGATAATAACGACCGCTTATGTGACGATCCGAAAATCTCATTTTCCGACCCGTTTAGTCAGATGCAGCAAAGAGCACCTGTCCTGCCGGCAGCAGCCGCTTTGTAGAATCCCGTCCTCTCATGTCATTTGGTGAACGGATGGGCCGATTGAGAACGG